ATAGAAACGATGTTATATGGATCTTAGTATGACTGAAAATCATTAGTAATAATGAAAAAAATAAAGTTATAATTGAAACAGTTGGGATGGCCATACTTAATTTACAAAATATGGTAAAACAATATTGTAATTGTCTTTGATACTAATATTAATTAACTCACAATATCGTAGTGTGCATTTCAATGACATTGACATTAAATACCAGTGGATTGGCATAAGAGATTACAAATAACATTATAACATAAATTATGATCAGTGAAAACTGTTCTACTGAATGCTAGAGTGGATAAAAACTAAATACTTATATTATTATACTAGTAATTGATAGTCATTTTCACCTGCCACGCCTATTATATGTTGTAAGTAAAATTGCATGCAATAAGATTTGAAATCATAATTACAACAATGCGCCTCGCTCGCCTGTAAGCATTCACGTGCACACAACTTAGTAAGATACATGGAAGTGGATTTGTGCCTTTTGCTTGTAACCAGAACATTAATAACCGGAATACATCATATTATTTATAATAATAATGCCGTAATGGTGATTAGCCACAAAATATTTGATCAAAATAAAAACACTTTTGTTTGACCTAATATAATGATATGTTGAGTTGTAGTATCAATACGCGAGTATGAAAAATGATGTATAACATAGAAATTAACTCGAGATGCGATCAAAACGTATGTAGCCCACGTTGTAATATTGGCTATTTCCACGCTAATTTTTGGTATAAATATGCAAATTAGATATGGGTCAAATATAATTTTTAAATGAATACATCATTATTTTCTTTATAGAAGAATACAGTAGGCAGGCAAAAAAGTCAAGGTTGCTTGAATGTATGCATAGGAGGTGCATGGTAATCATTTGTAATTTGTAGGTCAATGGTAAATACGCATTTGTAATTAGTTTTATACAGCATTCATTTTTACCCAATATGATTTACTTATTTAATCTGAATTGTGAATTTATGTCTTTGACTCTAATAACACTCATTTTAATTCTATAGTCAATGTTAAAACAAGAATTAAGTCAGGTTCGACGCCATCTGGATTTTTAAGAGGTCGTAGACAAAATAGCAAGATTGTCAAATGCAAAACAAAAAAGGCAATCAGTAATAACAAGTATTGAATATAGGGCCACGTTTTAACTACATGCGCCCATACACTATTGACTCAATCTTTATGATTACCATAGTCATTGGGGGAAATCCACGACTTAAGTACACATTGTTAGACATTATTGATTTGATCGTTGGAGTAACAAATCAACACAGAGGCTTCATTAATTAGCTTATGCTTTGTTGCGTGTGTACAACTGTTTTTTACAACTATATCAGCAACACTATGGTCATATTATGAAGAAACAGGTTAGCAATAATCGTTACGATCAAAAGATCCATTTCAGAGATCAGATGATTACAAGTGTAAATTGTGGACTTGTGTTGGTATTGCTTATATAAAATTATTGTAATTGACACATTTACTATTGGTATATATAAAGAAATATATAGCTATACATCTAAATAGTATTTGTGAAGAATTGTAGGATGTAGATTTCTGGTTAATGTACATGTGTGCTATGTTCGATAAATCTGTGGTAATTTCTGGTGGCGTCAGTAGCGTGTAATATGCTGATACATAAGACGACTTATGGTATGGTATATATACGGGCGTGATATTATGTTGTTGGCATAGCTAATGCGTGTATGTGTTTAACATAGTGCGATACAACGAAAATCCAGACTAATAATGTCAAGAAAATAACGTGACCATGCAATTATAATACTAATTTATGTCAGTGTGTGTCGAAAAAGACTATTGATAATACTAACATTGTTAGTGTTTATGTGAATATGAGTAGAAACTTCAGACTATTGACGACATAGGACAACATTAATCTATTACATTACATGCGTAGTTAGTATACGACATGATGACACACTATAAAGCTAAATATTATCTGTACAAATGAAGAGCATACATACTGAGAACGATGAACGGCAGAATGGTAGTCAGTTTAGTGAACGTAAACTACCTAATAAATGCAGTAAATATGGAAATGTACACATATTGCGGACTGCACCAACAATATCCTAATACCCATAGCATGCGTGTGAGTGATGAGTGGTGCGTTAAATGTTACCAAGGACAATTAAGCATAGATTGTAACACGGCACGCAACAGTGAATATTGGCAAAATAATGTAATTGATTACATATGTAAATATTATATTCAACGATTTCCAATAACGATATTACCTGACATTTACCACACATATTAAGTATCATATACACAATAAGTTATTACGATGTACTAATTATACTTCCAGACTTTATTTATTGTATCTAATCATAGGCATCAAATAAATCAATTCATTAAACAACATTTATTTTATAAAAGAGTATACTCTGTAAAACGCTTCATAAAAAGGAATATAATTACACATTGAATACAATATCCAAGATAAATATCACAATTTTTCAATAGATTTCCTGTTTTGTAAATTGTTTTTGTTAACGTGACATTGATACAAGTCTTGTGTTAATATCTTTTTTGTCAACACTAAATATAATTGCATAACATTGTTTATATTAGGGGAGATTTGTGTCTTTAGCACAACATAACTCAGTGTATCGTGACATATGAATATTCCGAATATAATCAGTGTTAATATTGTTATTGCTTAAACTGTGATATACGAATAGTTAATTCGTGTAATCTCCACAGTCTGTTACTATAGCCTCTGTAATTATATACATCACAGCTGGTTCTACCGGTTGAGTATGCGAGGAGGACGCTGACATGTTCAATATTGTCAAATTATTGCATTTTATTTACATGGATAATTGTTTGAATGAATGAATGTATTAGTGTTTTTAATTGCATCAAATTTACACAATCAGCATTTATAACGCGAGAACTTCCATTATTCTTATGGTGACAAGTCCATTTATGAAAACATATTATATATATTGTTGTTTTATTTTTGTATTATTATACACAGGGTTGGTTATTTCGTCTGTGGATGGGTAGTGCCACTACTTATTGCCTGTGTTTGCTTTCGCATCAATACGTCTGCACATAGAACAGCAAACATGATAGAAAACAACTATATGCACATACAATATTCAGAGAGGCTTTTACCAAAAAATGTGTTCGCAAGGGATTTTTAGCGGGCAGGCAAAATAAAACATCTTCAGTGGGAGGGAATTAAAAATAGGGTTTCTCAGAGGGGAATTCCAGTAGAAGAAGATTTTTATTCAGAGGGCAGGCAAGTTCCATTTTTAGATTGAGCGGGTAAGGGCAAAATCATTGATTGTACATTGTATTTTTCAGAAGTGTAAAATGTGAACTTGGGTACAACTCTCTTAATAAAGAGTGTTGCCGGTGAAATGGGTCATGGGGAACAAAAACTGAGTGGGGAAAGGGCAGTGGGAGCAAAACCAAGTGGAGAGAAGGCACTCGTTTACTCGTTGACTTCACCTGTTTTAATATGCGCCATGATGTAATAAGGAGTGTCAACGTGATCTAAAGCAAAATACCTCGATCAGGATGAAAAAAATATCCAGTCAGAAGATACATAATCTCAATCGGGTTATGTGCATATCCCGATTGGGGTATATATCCCTTTTGACAGTTATAATCCTGACTGAATGGTGCCAGCAGTGATCTTTGATTGGATGACAAATGACTGTATTTATACTATGATATACAA